TAAAGCCATCAAAAGAATCAATTTTGTGATTTACTGCTACAATTAATAATTGTCCCAGTAAATGCCCAAACCCTACAGAACGGGTGCCTTCAGAGAGCACACTACATTACATTTTGGCTATGGCAACGTTACACTATAATAGTTGACTATTTTTATGTATTTGGCTACATAAGAAAGAAACTGAAAGTAATTCTCTGATCAGGCTCTGAACCACCTGGATGCAGCCTGCTACATTACAGTCCATTGGCCATTACCACTATAAGGACAATAAAAGTTTTTTTTGAAAATGTCAAAATGTTTCCAAAACATCTACTTGTGATATTTTAGCTGTTTAGTTACATTATTCCATATTAATATCACTATCAAGTGGTATTAAAACTTTTTTTTACAATAACAGCAACTGGTGTTCTTACTACGTATTCTTAGAAAAGGATTAAACAATTTTTAACTTTTTACAATACATACATAAAACTTTATAATGTTGGAACAAGCATGTTAAAACCATAACCCACTGTAAGTCACCATGTTAAAGACTTTGATGTATAAAATATTTATGAAGAAGGTGAAATACTGTTGTGTACTTTTTATATTTAGTTACCACTACCATCCACTGTGCGTACATGAGGCTCAAAAAAGCACATCACATTCATAAGCTACAGTATAATAATAAACTCTTTTTATATATCCAACTGAGCAATCTTAATTTTATTAAATATACCTACTTTTTAATTAGTTTAATATTTAAAATGCTGTAATACACAGTTTAAAATTAATAAAAGTCTAAACAGTATACAACTTAGAAAAAGATTTTGCCTCAGCATTGACCGGGCGTTTTCTGGCAACAGCCGAAATGCTCCACACACGACATTAAGCTGCTCCATCTGGCGGTTTTACAAAGAAGTCCAAACACAAAAGTTTTATAACGTAGTAAAGTCCACAACTGAGTATTTTTAAAAAGCTGCGTTACTCCACAGCCCTGAGCTGCAAAGTACTGCATTACTGTATAGCTGTATCTGTAACCCCACAGCTCACAACTGGCAACCCACTGAAGCTAAGCAGGTGTGAGCCTGGTCAGTACCTGGATGAGAGACCTCTTGGGAAAAACTAAGATTGCTGCTGGAAGTGGTGTTAGTGAGGCCAGCAGGGGGCGTTCACCCCTAAACGCTATATTGTAAAAAGGCACAGTCCTACAGATGAGAAGTAAAACCAAGGTCCCGACTCTCTGTGGTAATTAAAAATCCCAGGGTGTTTCTCAAAAAGAGTAAGGGTGTTACCCTGGAATCCTGGGCAAATTTCCAACTGTCTTTCAGATGAAATGTCAAACCAGGGTACTGACTCTATATGGTCATTAAGAATCCCAGGGTGTTTCTCAAGATGATTAGGGGTGTCACCCCGGCGTCCTGGCCAAATTTCCCATTGGTCTTTACTATTCATGGCCTCCTAATAACCCCCATCTCTAAATTGGCTTCATCACTCTGTTCTATGGCTATGGTTGCCGTCGGATCATCCAGGTGGATGCTGCAAAGTGGTGGTGGTGGAGGGAAGTCCCCATTACCTGTAAAGAGTTTGAGTGGAGTGTCCAGAAACAGAGTGTAAGCAATTATTGTTATTATTAATGACATTTAATGTAACATCCCTGTGTACCATGTAGCACTGTTTTATCTACATTATTTTTAAATTGTAGTGACATACAAGACAGTTAAAAAGACCAATAGTTTTTGATTAACTTATTTTATTTGAGTACTTATGGTATTTTAGTAGTTATGTTAAGATGATGCAAACGTGACATTAAATAATTTTAAAAAAGTCAAATGCCAACTTAATGTATGTAGAATTTAATACACTGTACAGGGATGCTGGATAATACTACACTATGCTATTGAAAAAATAGTTGAAAAATGTTGGAAAAATAATTTGGTGATCTGCACAGATGTGCATATATGGCAAGCTGCTTGACATTTGGATTCTCATAGATTTTGAGTAAAGTTAAGTAGATTTGAGTGTGTTTTTGAATCCACCTATAGATACAACATTTTATTTTCTGCAATAACTCTTATTTAATGCAGTCAATTCAACCAAAAAGAAGAGGATGGACAAAGGAAGAATTTTCTGTTCAAACATTATGTAGGTGGTATATGTGCTAAACGGTCTACAGGTTAACTGGTAAGTGGTGAATTATTTAAAAGGGACTACTGCAAGAAAAGCATTCACCACATCTGTCAGACTTCCTTTTAGAATCATTTGTGAGTTATTACCAGATGTGTTTGTTCCCCATACAACTATGTAATGGGTCAAATTATCAGCCAAGATTTAATTAAGGAAGCACTTCAAAGAGAAACTACCTAGATGAGTTATTTTTATTTCTATGTTGGGTAAAGCGTGCTTGCATTTCAAATGATAAATTATAAAAAATATGAGCAGAGAAGTGGCTAAAAGCATTTTCACCAACTGGTATTAGCATTGCAAATTGTTTTATCTGACACTATTTTAAAATAAAAGCCTGATAAAGGAATTTAGAACAAAACCACTAGTACACTTCTTGGAAAAACAAACAGCATTACCCTGTAGCTAATTTTAGAAGAGTAGCATATTTCTGTTTGTAACATCTGAAGTCTATTAGCTGCCATTGCCTATAATTTTTAATTAAAATAAAAATAAATGACATTTTTTATATTTAATTGTTTTATAAAGAAACAAAACTGCAATAAGACATACATTTGCCAGATTTATATACAGATTGGTAAAATGCTGTACATAATTTTGTACATAATATATTTTATCAAACTGAGGGGAAAATGCTTTCATTCTTTCACTCTAGCAATTACCAAAATAGCCCATAAATGCTGATCCCACTAGGATAGGCTTTAATTGGGTCAGTCTCAATATAATTATTGTTTGAATAGAAAATAAAAAGGTCAGAGCTAACCGCCATATAAAGACTTAAGCATGAAAAAATGAAGATCATAGGAAAGGCTTCCACAACAAACCACTTAAAACAATGACTAAAAATCTAAGTAAGACTTACAAGCAATTTCACCACTTCACTGTTTTAACATGTCTTAAGCAGAATATTGCAAACCTTCCTTTGGTCTACAGTTTAAGACTGAGTGTAACTGATTTGAAAACTAAGAAAGTTCAACATCAGTTTGAATCTGTGAATGCACCCATTTTGCTCCATTTCAGTAATTTCAGTCATGTCCTGTGACATTCCAGGATGAATCTGCACACGTGGCAAACAATGAAAGTAACAAGGAATATGATGCAGAACTCAATGAATTGTAGACCACAGAGATTTAATAACATCCTTTCAATGTGTCCGGTTATTTATAATTACAGTGTGAAACTCTCAATGAGTACTTACTGTCCAGCTTCGTGTAGTATGGGTGCAGGACAGAGAAGATAATTATCCAGTACTACACTTGGCTTCTCATCTGGAAAATGAGGGATTGCATGAGTTCCTTATACAGTTCTGGTTAATGAATTGTAGAATAAACTTGTTTCCAGGTGTATAATATTTAATAATTTTTCAAAAGCAAGGGACATTAAATTCTGATGCAGAGGTGACATGCATTATCAAGATTATAAATATATTCTAGAAAATTAACTTTGTGCCATAATCCATACTATTTTATGACAGTTCGTGCAGTGAGCACAAGTTCATGTAGATGTCACCTTCCGCACCACAAGAGGATTTTTAAATGCCTAAGATTCTGTGAGCTGAGTTTTGAGATTCAGGCATGTGCTTTCCATCTGCAGCATTTTTATAGCAAGATGTGATTACGCTTGTCCACAATTATAAGATGCCCTTCTTCTAAGAGGCTCACACCCATGTGGGTATAGCAAAACACTGTGTCTTGAAACCACATGGAACTTCTGAAGAGGCCTGATAAGTAAACATCTGCTAGCAGTGGAGTCCGTGGAGTGTGAGGCAAATGTTAGGAATTTTACAGTAAAATGGACATACTGTAAATAGATGCAAATATGTGTAAAAAATTAGAATATTTTTTTTCTAAAAATAAGGTAGTCCAGACAACAAATATGCCATCCTAAATATAATGATATAAGCTTTTTTTAGTTCAAATGGGTCCTCAAAGTATGTTTTTAAAGTTATTAGACATAAATATGAGTTGTCTCTTTTTCAAAATATTGTGAAACATTTTCAGTAATTCACAAAACTGAAAGGAACAATGACTTGAAGACAAACAGATCTATAAAGTGAAGGAACAAGCAAAGGTTTATTTAATGCTGAAAAGAATCTTCTGTTTTTCAGCATGGAATAAGCCTTTACATTGTTCCTTTGCAGCCTACGCATGCTGACACAGCTACCTACTAGATCTAGAAGTATATTGCTTCTATAAAATGTTTGATACTAAAAACGATAATATTTGGTAATTTTAATTAACTATATGTGACTATACTGATAATCCATTTCTATTCCCATGACTGACAATAATTGTTAATATTTTCAGCATCTGAAGTTGTTAAAAAAGGTGCAAGGAAAATAATTGAATTGGTCAAAGTTATGTAAACTAATCAATCTAAATTATATTAGTGCCATAAAATGTTAGTTCTTTAGAATACTTCAAGAAATTTGATTCATATGATCAGTAAACTACCTACACATATAAAGGCCTAGACAGAACAAGCGGCCTCCTCACTTGTTACCTTACTGATGATTTTATTGTCAAAGGATACAAGTAATAAATCATTAACTTATTTTGATACAGTGGTAATATTTGACCTCTCTTTCATTGTTCTACTATGGTCCTGTAATTATACAGACATTACCTGCCGAGAAGAGATGGCAAAAACAGGAGATAAGACTATTTTTTGCAAGTTTTTTAAGATCAGAACTTCAGTTCCTCTATTTGTCCTATTGAAAAATATTTAGTAGCATATTTGGCAAAGCCAAAATGCAGAAATTCCCTTTATTACTGGGGTTAACCAGTTCAAATTAACATGTATCATGAGGAAAATGCTCTTTTACATTACCAAATGGTTAATGGAGAAATCCATTGCTATATCTCTAGCACATGTAGGAAACAAAAGTCAGATATACAACAAAAAGTGTCAATGATACTTAAAGAGGAGCTTCTACAGTAGTACCTGATAGTCACTGGACAAGGCTATTCCACATTGTTCCCAGAATGCACAACCTAATGGTAAACTTGTGATACCTTTTGTACTGAAGTCTACGCTCTTTATATGTAGCACGAATCTTCCTCTTTCAAATCCAATAAAGCAAACAGAACACTTGTTTGCCCACTGCATAACTTTTTAGTCATACCTTCTCATGTTTTAAACAACCTGGAACAAAATAGTACTTTGTAGTATTAGATGGCACACTTTGTTTACATTTTCACAATCATAGCTATCGCAACTGAGATACATTTGTTTCAACATTATCAGGAGGAGTAGGTTTATGTGGAATAGGTAAGATGCTTTTATTTTAACACTGGGTGTCATATTACTGAAATGAGAATAGAAAAGAAGTGAGAAGGAAAACTTGACTTTAGGTGACTTTAAATTGTCTCTCGACTCTCGACAAGATAACCATCGGTAATACATTAGAAGTATATCCATTTTTAATTACAATAATTCTGTACTTACCATACTTTTTTTCATTGATAACAAAGCTGCAAACAACTCCATCCGTATTTCTGCCAAGCATAAAACCATTTCCTCTCAGCACAACCTCAAATGATTCTGTAAAAGATGGAAATCATAAACAGAAGGAAAGAAAAATAAAATTATGCACACTAACACTAACAAATGTTTGCATTTTACTGTATCACTGAAAATCATATATAGATGCAGCCATTCAAAATCCACGGTACAACCCCGTATCACGTGCAATTATCCACAGTTCGCTACATTGTATCGTAGTACGTGATTGGCTGGCCAAAATGATTGACAGGGGCACTCATGGTGCATTGGTTGTTAGTGAAACAATTTAATAATTTAATCTCTTTACCGTGCATGTTTTAATCCTCTTAATATTGAATATTTATAAGGAAGTTTACAACTAAAGGGAAATTTTAGTAGCTGAGCATAAAAAGAAGAGGAGCATAATGCATCTGAAGGTCATAAACTATATTAATTAAGGAACATAAATATATTATGTAAACTGTATATGGCTGGTATTGGTAGTTTAAATAAAAAATACACACCAGTATTCTACTTTCTTCCGAAATTTTAAGCATCAAAGTCTTTCATTCAGTTACATACTGGGGTTATTTTGGAAAAGTTTTTACTTGCTCCTTCTGACTATATTAAATTGATATACTTCATAAAAAGTTATAATGTTTTAACATTTCCTATGAATATTTGCGCTCGTTATTGTAGTAAAAAACACATACTTTTTAGAATTTAATTAATAGGGAATATAATATGTAATCACGTATCTAAAGAAATTAATAACAATATAATTATATTCATATAGCTCAAATTATCACAGTAGTACATTTTCTTTGTAAATGTCTGCATCAGTTTAACTCATTCACCCATGATTACGTATGTGGTGTAATGACTCAGGCATGTGCCTTGCATGCTGGAGGTCAGGGGGTAAACAAACCCCAAATAAACATTTCTTTGAACAAGTAAAATAGCAAATATTATGGATGCTATAAAGTATATACATTTCAAACTGCTACTGTACTGACACTAACGTATAGCTTGTGGGAAATACATTTATTTATCCTGCATCAAAGTTTCACTCGTTCATTACAAACTCCAAGTTTTTCATTTTGTCTACTGCTACAATACCGAGAGCAATGTACAGATGCAGCCATTCAAAACAAACGGGGTATGCTGTGGTACAACCCGGTGGGCTTGTTGCAGTATACCGCAATTACCATTTGCAAATTAGGTTATGTTAATAGTATCCTGAATCACCTTGTAAAACCGCCAGGTGGAACTGTCACCAGAAAAAACCCGGTTTCGAATCCTGATTACTGCTGAGGGACAATTTTTATTCAATTAAGAATTTAAGTTGTATACTCTTTAGACTTTACAGCATGTTAATTATTATACATTAAAAAGTCTGTATATTTTATGAAGGCAAGATTGCTCAGTTGGACAAAAGTACACAACCTACCAAGTTCATCATATATAATTTAATTATTCATAAATATTTTATGCATCATAGTCTTTACCGAAGATATTACTAATAGTATTAATAATGAATGACCTTGGGCAAGCTGTAAACTCAAAGTATTACCCTGGTCCACATTTTTTGTAATCGTCTTTGTAAACAAAAATAGTTTATTTTTTAATTGACAAAAAGTAACACCACAGCATTTAGTTGATCTAATCACATATTCGTTCCCAATCATACAAAGAAAGTCTTGAGAATCTCCGATTCACCATGCCTTTCACATGCTCATAAACATGCTTCATTAACTGTGGCTGAAAAGCTGATCAACGTATTTGTATTCTCTCAAATTGACTACTGCAATGCTCTACTCGCTGGGGTATCTAAATCTACTCTGAACAAACTGCAGTATGTCCAAAATTCAGCAGCCAGAATCCTGACCAGGTCTAGTGCAAGTGTTCACATTACTCCTGTCCTGGAGTCCTTGCACTGGCTTCCGGTCAAATTCCGCGTAGACTTTAAAATCCTCATGCTCACCTATAAGGCTTTACTTGATTTGGCACCTCAATACCTGTCTGAACTATTATCGCCCTACTCTCCACCTTGTAACCTCCGCTCTTCAAATTCTGCCCTCCTTACTGTCCCCCAAGCCCGTCTACATTGTATGGGTGACACGGTCTTCTCCTGCTATGCCCCCAAGCTCTGGAACTGTTTGCCCAAGGATATCAGAGAGTCACCTTCTCTAAACTCCTTCAAATCCAGACTCAAAACCTTCTTCTTCAGAAAAGCCTTTACTTAACTGGTTCCATTCTTCACCCCTCTGCTTTTCTTAGTACCACCTTCCGCGGTCTTCTCTATTTTTATTGTTGTATTGTTGTAATTGTAAGTGTGTCTTATCTCGTGAAATCTTCTTATTTATTGTTGTAGTCTTCTTATTTATTGTTATTGTCATCCTGTAAAGCGCTTTGAGAAGCCACCTTTAAAGGTGCTATATAAAATAAAGTTTATTATTATTATTATTTTTATTATTATTATAATTGATATTAATTTAGGAACATAAACATATTATGTAAACTGTACTGTATATTGCTGGTCTTGGTAGTTTAAAGAAAAAAATACACACCAGTATTCCATTTCTCCCTAAACATTTTAAGCATCAAAGTCTTACATGTAGTTATTTCGGAAACGTTTTTACATGCTCTTTCGATTCAATTAATTAGGGTTATTAATGCAAAACACCTTTGCTAGTTAATGCTACATCACATTCTCGGCTAACAGGCTTGTTTTGTGATCTTCCTAAGATTGTTAAGCGCAGTGTCAAAATGTTTTCATATGAAAGGATTCATATGAAAGGCAATGACATCACCGTCACCATCCACATCTGTGATGTGGTTGAGTGTGAATTGTGGTGAGCCTCGATTTGGGAAAAAAATACCTGCTGATCTGTTCTACAAACCAGGAAGACAAGGGAATATGATTTTTTCTATTTAAAATGCGTATTTAAATGTTTAAGTAAGAAGTAAAAACCTTACAGCATACACAGATTTCGAAGCTGATCAGGAGGATGAAAAAGCGGTTATTAACTATCGAAACCTGTTGTTATAGCTTTTAAAGTTGTGCAATGTCTAAGCAGGAACACATCTCTTACATATCACATATCGTGTTTTTGATTTATTTTTTAAGAATTAAAAAAAAATCGTTCACCCAACCTAATTTTAAAGACCTCTACTTGTGAAAGTTTTCGCAGCCTGTACATAAAACTGTATACACAATACTACTGACAGCAGGAACATCGTTATTAATTATTATTAATTTCTTTAGATACGCAATTCCATATGATATTCCCTATTAATCAAATTCTAAAAGTATGCTTTTGTTTACTCCAGTATCGAGCGTATTCGCAGAAAAGCTTAAAACTATCACTTTTCTCACAAAATACTGTATATTAACGTACAGTAACATGGTCAAAAGGAGAAAGTAAAAACGTTTCCGAAATAACCACATGTAAGACTTTGATGCTTAAAATGTTTAGGGAGAAATGGAATACTGGTGTGTATTTTTTCTTTAAACTACCAATACCAGCAATATACAGTTTACATAATATCTTAATGTTCCTAAATTAATATCGTTTATGACCTTCAGATGTGTTACGCTCCTCTTCTTTTTATGCTCAGCTACTGAAAATTTCCTTTAGTGGTAAAATTCCATATAAATATTCAATACTAAGCGGATTAAATTGTGCACAGTAAAGATATTAAATTATGAAATCTTTTCACTACCAGCCAATGCACCATGAGTGCCCCTGTCAGTAATTTTGGCCAGCCAATCACATAACGCGGTACTGCGGGATGGCTCACGCGTAGTTGCCCGCGGTACGGGTTTGTACCATGCATTTTGAATGGCTGCATCTGTAGTTAAAAGGAACATGTCAAAATGTTTCCAAAATAACCACAAGTGAACGAGTTGAGGGATTTGATAATAATAGAGAAATCATAACAATGACCCCGTGTTGCTAGTCATGCATACGCAACTGTACTGTAATCCACTTTCTTTGTAAACATGATATATTTTTAATTTGACTCATTGACTCATTTATATTATAGTCAATTTGACTATAATATAAACAAGATCTAGTACCTGGTGCAGTTTTAAAAAAAATAATATTTTGAATTAATCAAATCCCACGTGTAAGTTCATAAAGCTAGAATTACATACTATCCTTATGTCTGAAAAACACCTGATCATCTACTGTAAAGCTTTCAGTGCTTTGTTTGCGTATATTCCAATCACAGTGGAGGCAGGGTGTGTGCGGAAAGGTTTAGGCTGCAATTGAATTGGGGATCTGTATTATTCACAACTGAAACATTGTTTTCTTCCTCTTTAGCTGATCTTTTGCCGCCTACGCATGCTTACACAGCTCCCTAGGTGAATTATTGTACTTCACTGAGAAAGCTTTAGAGAACTTTACATTTTTATTTTCAACAAATTGTAAATATGATGTTTACATTGACATTTTTATTAAGTGTCAAGGAAAGTTCCCCATTCCCCCCACAGACAGACAGACAAAGCAATTGGGAAGTGTTAACTACCCAGCTATTGCAAGCCACTGCAGCAGCCACAAATATTTTTTTTTTTCCCCTGATGGTAACTGTAACAAATTGTCACGTTTCGCATCCTTGCGAAACAATCAACATTCTCATCCAATCAAAGGTTTAGTGTTTTTTTTAACACAATACAACAACAATAAAACAGAACACCTTCCAATACATACAGATGCAGCCATTCAAAGTGCGCGGCACAGACACGTACTGCGGGTAGTTGGCTACATCCTCGCACATCGTGACACGCAATACCGCGGTACGTGACTTGTTGACCGACGGGCACTCCTGGTGCGTTGGTCAGTCGTAGAAAGATTTAAATGTCTTTACTGTGCCCGTTTTAGTATTGAATATTTATATG